AAGTATATGTTGAGCATAGCTTTATCTTCCAGTGCAAGTATATGTTGAGCATAGCTTTATCTTCCAGTGCAAGTATATGTTGAGCATAGCTTTATCTTCCAGTGCAAGTATATGTTGAGCATAGCTTTATCTTCCAGTGCAAGTATATGTTGAGCATAGCTTTACCTTCCAGTGCAAGTATATGTTGAGCATAGCTTTACCTTCCAGTGCAAGTATATGTTGAGCATAGCTTTACCTTCCAGTGTAAGTATATGTTGAGCATAGCTTTACCTTCCAGTGCAAGTATATGATGTACATGACAGTTTTATTATGAATATAGTTTGACATAAGCTTTTCAAACTTTAGTTTTTAAAATACTTCTAGTCATTACATTTAATAGGTAATAAAAATTATGTTTAATTTCATTCACTGTTTTAGACATTATGTTCTTGCCTTTGAAAATTATGAACCATGCCATTTTGTCTAAAGTGTATACAAATATGTTTTATTAGAGCTAAAACGAAAAAACCTTTCATTTTGGAAGATTTTTGTTCATTTTTCTTTGAAATGTACTGCATTGTATTTCTTAAATTGAAGCTATAAAAGTAAGAAAATGTGATAAATTAATTTGAAAATTCTGTCTAAATCCTAAAGGCAGTGGTTGTGATGAGTCTTTTAGTTAAAACACCATCCGAAGTTTTAAGAAACAAATACTACATTTTACAAGGAAGATTTTCATCTTTTCAATGGTTCAATTAGTTTAAAAATTAAGCATCGCCATTCTAGGTTAGATCATCATTAGCTTAACATTATCGTGACGTTAGATGATCAAAGAGATAAGCTGAAAAAATATTCAGAGCAATGAACCTTGAATCTTGTGACAACGTGTTATACATTTGTGTTAGTATATCATAAAATTCCATAAAACATCATTTTATGTGAAATTTGGTGCAATTATATTTTGATTTAACCTGAGGTATTGTTTGTTTTTACACTAGAATCACCAAACACAATCATTAGCAATGGAGATCCAGTTAGTCCAGCCCAATTTTCTGTTCGTGTCAGAATTCCCCCTGGTGGCAAGTCTTCAGGAATATTCTAAACCAGTAACCTGCTGAATTAACTGCTCCTTTTCTGAATCGCTTAGATGAAGCTATTCTATTCGAAATTGGAACTGTTGATTTTAAGTAATCACTAAAATGCTCCATTTAAGTTATTTTGTAGCATACTATCGGATTCTGTTGTGGTTTTGGATGTTAACTATATAAAGAACTATTGATAACTATGATAAAATGTATACACACGTTCATGTTATGATTAATTACTCCACTATTGC